TTTACTTCAATATATAAACTATATTAAATGTACATTAATAGTCTTTTTTTGTGTTTTTCTTAACAAGAAACTAACCTCTATGCCTTGATTAACTCTTTATAATGCTACTAAGCAGGAGGAGGATGTGTGTACATGCTGAAGTCTTAATACTCCATGGAATATGAATTTTTTCACTTCAAATCTTGTTAAGATTCACTATCACAATCTATTTAGCACTGACTTACTATGATCAATGTGTCTCTTTCTTCCTGTTTCGCCATTCCTTTTTTTTTTTATTGTGAAAACACTGTACAGAGGGGTTACAATTACATGGGCAAGATAGTGAGTACATTTCTTATCAAGCATTGTAGCCTCCTTCTTTGTTTCCCCTTCCCATCCCAACCCATCCTCCCCCCACCCCCACACCGAGTTCTCCTCCCCCCCTCTAAAGTGGTAAATTTTGATTTTCCACATAAAGACTTGTATATCTCATTGTTGAAATGTATCTACCTGTATCCCTATTTAAACAATTTGTTTTTTCCCTTCCCCTCCACAAATTATACCAACCTCAGATACAGAGAAGGAATGGGTTATACCATGGGGGGAGAAACATACAAAGCAACAAAGTAATAATCTTATAAATATGTTAAAAACAATCACCTGAAAGAAAAAAAAACATTTGAATACATATCTTAGGGTTCATTTCCCTAACATGAACTTACCTGACCTTTTCTGCTTGACTCAGACTTATACTAGTTATTGCAAATAAGGGAAACCATGGTACCTAAGTTGTTTTGGGCCTGGCTTACTTCACTTAATATAATTTTTTCCAAGTCTTTCCATTTCCTAACAAATGGGACAATGTCATTCTTTCTGAAGGGGACATTTTCTTGATCCATTCATCTACTGAGGGGCATCTGGGTTGGTTCCATATCTTAGCTATGGTAAATAATGCTGCAATAAACATGGTTGTGCTGGTAACTTTATCGTGGTCTTGTTTATAAGCATTTGGGTAAATGCCTAAAAGTGGGATTGCTGGGTCATAGGGGACCTCCATGTGGAGTCTTTTGAGGAACCTCCATACTGCTTTCCAAAGTGGTTGAACAAGTTTACACTCCCACGAACAATGAGTAACCTTACTTCATTGAACCTTACTTCACCATTTCTTATTATGTCTCACCAGCTAAAGTGAAGGAAGAGATTGACCTTGTGATTGGCAGGCACCGCAGCCCCTGCATGCAGGACAGGAGCCAAATGCCCTACACAGATGCTGTTATGCATGAGATCCAGAGATACATTGATCTCCTACCAATGAACGTGCCCCATGCAGTGACCCATGACATTAAGTTCAGAGACTACATAATTCCCAAGGTGAGCTTGTTTCTTTTCTACTGAGCATCCATAGGGAGCCTGAGTTCTTGAGGTCACTGCAGGATTCCTCTCCTCCACATGAGAGAGTGCAAAAGTCTCACAGTTGGCTGCACAGGAGAGGTTGTGGTATAGCAAGTTTGGGGTTGTATATCCATGCAAATTTATCCCCGGTATCCCACACTGTGAATCCCAATTTTGTTATGCCCCTTAAATTCATTTTGTTTTAGAGACTTCTCCTTGTTCTTGTCTTTTTTCTTCTTCTAGTTCCTCCCCTCCTCTTCCTGCTCTTCCTGCTGTTTCTCCTGCTGTTCCTCCTCCTCCTCTTCCTCCTCCTTCTATTCCTATTTCTTCTCTTTCTCCTCCTCCTTGATCTTTTGGCTATGCTTAGTTTTTGTATTACCAAATGAGTACAAAAACTTATTATTTATCAATTTTCCAATATGTTGTGCTGCGATATAAATTATGCCTCCAGTAAAGTTTTAGATAAATTTGGGAGAAAATGTTACCTTGATTTCCTCAATTCATGAATGAGTCATGCTTCCAATTTACCTATGCCTTACTTTATTTTCCAAGTAATATTTTGTTTTCAATAGAGTCGATAACAAATATATTCATAGACTTTGTTTAAATGCATAGCGCTTTGCCTATTACTATTTTAGTTTTTCATTGGCTTTCATGCTTGTTGGTCTGTGCACTGTCCGTGAGCTCATTTGCTCAAAGCTAGATCTCTACCAGTTTGCACCACAGTTCCACTTCCAGTTTTCTGTTGGTTAACTGGAGATAAGAGACTCATGGACTTTGTTGCCTGGGCTGGCTTTGAACCATGATGCTTAGATCTCAGCCTCCTGAGCAGCTAAGATTACAGACATGAGCCACCAGTGCCTGGCTTGATTGTTATTACTTGTATGATGCCTTTGCTATCATTTGTACCTGATATATAGAAACATAATTGCTTTAATCATTCTGATGACCTCATGAAATGTAGACTCATGAAATTTACTAGTCATTGCTAATGAATTCTCTGTAGATTTGTTTGGAATTTTACAGTGTATTACCATAATATCTCGTTTAATAGATTCTACTTGCTTTTCCGATTCTTGTACCTATAAATGTGCTTTGTTGAATTTTTGTACTGGCAGCCAGGATGGTGTAAACAAAATAGATTTTATTGGTCATCTTTGTTTCATTATGATTGGCAGAAAAGATTTCAAGCTTGGAATTTCACAGTTAATTCTGGTATCTTAAGTAGAGTTTTTTTTTAAATAACATTAGGGAAGTTTACCCTGTGTTCTTATGTATGTATGAATTTTGAACATAAACATGATAATATTTTGAATCAGATCTATTCTCTGTAAGGATTCTTCTTCGTTGAAAAGTTTTAATTATACAGGTGATGTGCAGAGGGGTTACAGTTACATAATTCAGGTGGAGTAGGTTTCTTCTTGGACACTGCCACCCCTTCCTTGGCTCTCTCCCAGTTTTTCCTTCCCACCCCATCCACAAGTTGTATAGTTCATTTTGAACAGTGTCTGGTGAGTGCCACTGCTGCATTTGTTCACCCTTTGTCCCTCCATTTCTGTGCCTCCCCTTGCACTCCCAAAAAAAGATAAATGAACAAACAGAACAAAGAGGAAGAAAACAAAAAACAGCATAAGAAGGAAAAAACCCTCATTTTCATTTCCTGTAGGTCATTCCAATAAATATTTCTTTTATGATCAGATGCACAGAGGCATTGAACCTTTGTGTTTTCCCCAAAGTATCGTCCTGTGGTCTCACAGTGTGAATGCCTCGGTTTCTTCTTTTTATGTGTTTAAAATTGTAGTGTGGTGCTCTCTTAGGCAGCACATATAATAAAAAGAAACAATACAGAGAAGATTAGCATGACCCCTGCATAAGGGTGACTCTCAAATTTGTGAATCATTCCATATTGTTATCAAAACGAATACCAGGCAATGGAAACACTGGAGGAGGGACATTAAGGGCACAGGAATGGAGGAAGGTCTGATAAGCAAATGCAGTCATTGTATTCTAGATGGGTAGTTGTTGACCTTCTATTGCTTTATGCCCTTCTTGCTTTTAAAGTTTCTGCTGTGAAATCTGGTATTATGCTGATTGGTTTGCCACCATAGATGACTTATTGTTTTTCTTTGGCAGCTGTCAGTACTGTTTACTGTTTCTGAATATTTAATGTTTAACTATAATGTGTTTTGGAGTGATTCTTTTTTGATATGATCTGTTTGCTCTTCTAAAACCTCTTGTACCTGGATTGTAAAGATTTAGGAAATATTCTCACATCATTTTATTGACTATGTTTTGTATTGTTTTAGCATGGGTCTTTTCTTCAGCCTCTCTGTCTATGTTTATAGGTTTGACCTTTCAAGTTCCCAAGGTGAGCTTGTATAATCTTTTCATACCTTTCACCTAGTTCTTCATCTGACTAATCTATCTACTTTTTCTTTGATCCCTGATATTCTGTTTCAATTTGATTCACTCTTTTCTATTGAGTTCTTTTTATTCGTATAGGTTTTCATTTTCAAAATTTTAGTTTAACTATTTTTTAATATTTCTGTATCTTTATTGAAATCCTCATTTATATATATTGCATTGTTTGTCTTACTTCATTTAGCTGTTTATTTGTATCCATTTCAAATTCACTTATTTTTTATACTTGTTCTTTTATTGTATTGAAATCATATTGTTGGAATAATTTTAATTTTAATTTCTATTGTGACAATACTGTATAGAGGAGTTACAATTACATGGGCAAGATAATGAGTACATTTCTTATCAAGTATTGTACCCTCCTCCTTTGT